TTGTTTCGGTTTTGGTCTCAAAAGTATATTAATCTTAAGTTGTGTGTTTTAAATGTTTGCAAGTTTCTTGTTTTTCTTATGCATTGTGTTTTGTTAAAATTATGTTTCATTCTTGTTTTGTATATGTGTTGTATTTGCACTTAGTTGTTTCAAAATGCTATAAAATGATTTTCTTGTGAAATCATCTCAGATAAAGACAGTTCAGGCTTTTATCTGTCCCATATAGAATTGTAAACCAACGGTGGTTATTCTGCCAGCTAATAATTACCTTTAGGGCAGCTGCCACTCTCAAAGTAGAGGACAGGTTTCTCCTTTTGCCTTCTGGTGAATCCCCACTCGCATTGATGCCAGTGGTGTGTGGAACATTGACCAAATAGACAATTGGGTTCCTTTTGGAGACAGATCTCCGATTGCATGGAACTAGTGCAAACTGAAGTGATGACTGAGGGGTCATGGCCAGGGCTACTCCCTGGCAGATACCCAAAGGTCCCTCAGAAGAAACTAGCTCCCGACAGCCCATCTGGGTAATCAGCAGAAAATCTCTACATCTTGTCCCTAACTGGACTCCTCAGTGAAGTGAAAGGGGAGCTCTGTCAGTGATCTGATATCTTCTGAAACAAAGCCGTCAGAGCCCTTATGCCTCCATTAAGAGTTGAGCTACAGGTTTGGACTGCTTTCTCTACTACTAGTAAGACAGACTTCTAGACAAATATAAAAAACAAATATTTCATAGATTAAAAACTATCTTTCCTCCCTCCTAGGCATGGTCTTCATTATTTATGTGTGTAGGTGAGAAAAATGCCTTTGTCGATAGGTTATGGACTTTGGAATGTTGACTGTGGGCTTATAAAATGCTATATGGTGATTTTTTTTAATGTTTAACCAGGTTTGTAGAGACCAGAGTGACTTCATTTTAAGACAAAAAGCCATCACACGTAAGATGTGATTCCTAGGTGAACTCAATCAGGAATTTGCTCAGTTGACATAAAGGCAAGGCCAGATGGCTGGGAAAGAGAACCATAAAACTTGTAGAGAAGAAGAGACAGGATGTTCTGTATAGATAAGGGGAACACTCCACATTCCTGAGCACACTGACCTCTCCCTGAACTAGCCCACCAGCCCCCTTCCCACCCCAAGATAGTTTTCTTCCTGCTTTCACAAGTGCCCCAGCAACACCCAATAGAAATAAGAGGTAGAGAATAGCACCAATGAAAAACAAAGGATTTCAAGCCCCCCAAACCCTATAAAAGTATGCTTTAGAAAGGGGTCAGGACTCTCAGTACAGAACCACTGCACCAGTGAGGTCCAAGAGTCCAGGATCGAGCTTGCAATAAACTCCTCATGTGATTGCATCAGACTCAACTCCTTGATGGTCTTTGGGGATATCGTGATCTGGGCACAACATTTGGGGTCTCGTCCGGGATCCCCAAGACCGCAGGACTCTATCTGGAGGAGAACAGCAGGCTCATCAAGTGAATGTAAGTGTCTTTTTCTGTTCTTTGTGTTACCTTGCAAGGGAATCTGTGAAGCTGATCAGGGCCGTGGTGGATGCATTAAATGGTGCCTAATGGGCTGGGGTCTTGGAAGATGTTCCAGTCCCTTCTGAGTAGGGGGTTCAAGTCCCCTGGAGGGTTCAAGTCCCTCTAAATAGGGAGTTCAAGTCCCCCAGTTCTTGAGAAAAAGGCGGAATGGGTTGCTCCCACCATTTGGCACTAAGCCACCACCTCAGTTTTGGGTTTTGTTTTTGAGTCTGTTTGTAGTCTTGTGTATTGTGTGATTATTTTCATGTTATTGTGTTGACAGTGATGGATGTGCACAGAATGGGGCAATCTCAGACTACACCTCTTTCTTTGATGATTGAACATTTTAAGGAGGTTAAAGTGCAGGCACATGATTTGTCCGTAGAAATAAAGAAAGTGAAATATCAGACCATGTATGATTCAGAATGGCTGACTTTAGGGGTCGGATGGCCCCTAGGTGGTACCCTAGATCTGAAAATTGTTCAAAAGGTAAAAGAAAAAATGATTGTTTTTCAGAGCCATCCTGACCAGGTCCCTCACATTGTTGTTTGGGAAGATTTGATAAATAGCCGCCCTCACTGGTTAAAACCTCTTTTGCCCTCACAGCTGCTGGAGCTGATATTGGTTACCAAAGAGAAGGAGAATTCTTAGGATCTGGCTCCAAAAACACACCACTGGATTGCTTTCTCACTAATTTTAAATAGGCTTTTTCCCTGAGCAGGAAGATGAATACAGAGTCAAATTCTCCAGTGGGAAAGAAGGGATTAACTGACATGGCCTGTATTGGACCTTGACCCAAGTCCCACCAGAGAGAGTGACTGCCTGCCTCCTTGGAAAGGAAGAGGAGTGCCCCTGGGATTTCCTGGGTTCTCTTTCTAGGACACAGAGGCCAGCTCACTGGCAGAGGAACAGAAAGAAGGCGAATGAGTAAAATCCTCTGTCTGAATGGTAAGATCCCCTGGGTTGCTCCCTAGTTTGTCTTTGGAAGGGGCCCCCAGGGAGGGAATGTATTAACCTTTTGTGTGACTGTGTGTGTGAAAGAGACTTGATTAGGAGAGTGAATAAAATGAGCTACAAAAGCCTTCGGTAGCCTCATCTGTGCACCAAAACAAAGGGAGGGGGTGCTTGTGTTTAAAGAGCCCTCATGGCATTGCGGAGCTTATGTGGGTCAGTCCTGTGAGTCTATGGCCTTGCTTAAAAAGAGATGGGAAGCTCTTCTTTGGTCGGGGTGGGCCAGGGGGAGCTGGGAAGCACAGGGCTGGGCTAACAAGTGAATGAGGCTGTTTTCTGGAATGACACCCAACCTTTTGTCTTGCATCACTGGACAAGGAAATATCTAATGGTCATGGGGAATGCTAATACTAAACCAACTGTTCTTAAGGGCATAATTCAAAATTTTGATAAAGATTTTGTGGGGGACTATGAGATAAAATTGCAACCAAAGATGCTTAAAATTTTTTTGTGAGTTGTCATGGTCTCAGCTAAGACAGACTTTTCCCCCACAACAACTCTAGACAAAGGGGAAGTTATCTGCCTTTGTTTTACTTACCTGAGACTTTGATAACTTGGAGCCTTGTGTATTCTAGGAGCTGCTCAAGCTTCTGCTCTGTGGTAATTAGCTGCTAGTAGAAACTATTTAGTTTTGTCTTAGAACACCTGTTTGCTAAATCTGTTGTTTTTCCTGTGGTGAACTTGCCTCTCAGAAAGTGTGATATTGATGCAGGCAAATTCTGATGTTTCCCCTTTGGAGAAAGTTCAGCTATCCCCCACCCCACTTGAGTTGCTAAGAAGGTGTAGAATAGGTGGGGACAAAAACAGAATTTTTAGCTTTACTATGCTGGAGGGTGCAAATGAGAAGGCATGGTCAGACTCAGAAAATGAAACAGGGCTTGCGCTCAAATTAAAAAAAACTAAAATGAAAAAAAATAAATCTCTAATGGATTAAAATTAGACAGGGAAACTCTGAAAGACAAAATAGATAGAAAAAAACCTGCAATTGTGTTTTACCAGACATCAAGAGGTTTTTACAAGAAAAATCAAGCTTAAAATTTTTAACTATTTGATAAATGTATTTTTGTTTCAATTTGAATTAAGTTTAATTGCTGTGCTTAAAACACTTCTTGTGCATTGCAAATTGTTGAATTACATTTATAGGGTTAACTTGCTCTTTTGTACTTTGTTGATAAAAACTCAAGGTTAATACTGTTCTATGGGTAGCCAATCAAATTTTAAGATGTAACAATCTGAGAACAAGAAAAAAAAGAGGAACACTTTAAGATTTTAACAGCTGAAGTTCGTTATAGAAGGTTAATAATAAATGAGACAGAGGAAGACATTAGGAGAGCTATGGGTAAAAGAGGTATGCCTTTGATATGAAAATATTTTGTATGTTTGTCTTGTTAAAAACATATAAAAAAAGATATACAAGACCAAAAGGCTTAAGTATGTAGAAAAGGTATGTGGAAACGATTTAACAAGAAAATATATATGTTTGCTTGTTGGTTTCAAGTTTGTTACAGAAAGTTTACTTTTATAGTAACAAAGAGCTTTCATTCCTTTTAATTGCAATTCTACAAGAAATTTCTGTAAAAAAATTATTAAGAGGTTCTATTAAAATGCTTTTGATACCGAATTAGATGAAAGGGCATAAAGTTTCATATATAAAATGATGATTATTGTTAATTTTTGGACGTAATAAATAAATAAAACAGGATATTGAGAAACTATTAATGCTGCTTCAGGAGGCAAGATATAAAATTTATGCTGCTTGGAGATAAAAGGACTTAAAACAGATGGGGAAATTTTTTGGATAAAAGTTTTTACAGGATCTAGATTCTCTATATGTATAAATCTTTAAAGGGCCCCAAAAGACAGTAATCACTATAAGAGTAAGAGTAAGAGTCAGCATTTAAACAGCTAAAACTAACTCTTTCTCCTGCCCCCTGTATCAGGAATCCTAAGTGTGACTCAGCCTTTTAGTTTGTACCTGACTGAAAGAAATCATATGGCTTTAGGGGTGCTCATTAAAAGAGCAGGCCCATAGAATTAGCCAGCCATGTGTTTATCTTAAGAATAGATCCAGCTATGAAGTGATAGTTCCCTTGTTTTATAAGCCCTGGCAGCTGCAATAATACTAATTAAGGAAGCTGACCAGGTAACATTAAGAAAAAGTAAATTATTCGGATTCCCCATACCTTTTAGAACTATTGAGTAACAGGACATTGATGGCTCTCAAATAATAGAGTCACAAAATATCAGGCCCTCATCTGTGAGAATCCTCGCCTACATTCTGCTCCAGTTAAAAACCTTAAACCCTGTTACTTTTTGCACTCAGAACCTGGCCCTCTGACCACAACTGCCTCAGGGTCACTGACGAATTATTCTCCAGTCATCCAGATCTACACAAAGAGCCGCTGCCTGAGGCTGATTTCGTCCTGTTCAAGGATGAGAACAACTTCATGGAAAATGGGGTATGCTATGCTGGCTATGCAGAGATGACTCAAGGTGAAGTGGTCCAAGCAGGACCCCTCCCCACTGGATGGACAGCTCAATGAGTGGAACTATAGGCACTCATACAGGCTCTCTGATGGACAAAAGAAGGTAAATGTTTACACAGATTCCTGATTGTCACCTGGTATATCTATGGCATAGTCTATATAGGTGTGGTCTTCTCACAGTAGAGGGCAAATTTATTAAAATAAACAAGATGCAATATAGCTATTTAAGGCAATGTGAAAATGTGACAAAGTAGCTATAATAATTCAAGAAAAAAAGATGCAGTAGTGAATGGCAATGCTAAGATAGACATATAAGCCAAAAGGGCAACTAAACAGAAACCTTAGATGATTGAACCCACCCCCTGTAAAGGTAATAAATATGTGTTAATATGGGTTTTTACTTTTCTGGATGGCCTGAGGCCTTCCCTATAAAAACAAAGAGATATGCAAGATTTTATTTTTAAAAATTCCAAGGTTTGGTCTGCCTCTTCCCATAGGCTGTGACAATGGTCCAATATTTAAAACAGAGGTTATACAAGATCTAGCTAAACTGTTATACTGCTTATAGACCTCAGAGTTCTTATAAAGTTAAAAAAATGATAAATCATACTATTAAGGTAAACATTGTCAGATAACACTGGATTATAAATTGATCTGCTTCCTTTGGCCTTCTTTAAATTAAGAGATAACCAAGTCATAGTGGGTTCTCCCCATATGAGGTCTTGTTTAGAAGGCCACCATGTATCTTGAAACTTTATAAAATTATCTCAACTGGGCTTATCCAGTATAGAATCACAGCTGTTAAAATTGGACAAATATTTCAAAATATTCAAGGGTAAATTAAAAATAAAAAAGACTCCTTTCTGACCTATATAGAAAGGGCCATATGAGTCACTTATGGTTACTCTGATAGCTGTCAAGGTAATTAAAGTTCAGCTACCACCATTCTAAAGTAGAACGGTTCTATCCAGAAAATTTCATGGACTTTGACTCCAGGAGACAACACACTCAAAGCCCTGCTCTCACTACACCAGAAGCTGGTGAGTCCACACACGGCTGAAAGATGAGAACTGCAATTGAGATGGACTCTTATACTGTGTCAAACTGTTATGAGCTATTATGCTTATAAATTAAGAGGTTATAAGTCTACAAAAGATAAATTCCTTAACAGTGGTAATATGACAAAGTTAAAGGGGCTTAGATGTTCTTACTACAGCCCAAGGAGACATTTGCCAAATGTTAGGAAAAGAATGCTGTTATTATACTGACCATTCAGGAGTAATAAAAGATTCTATGGCCAAAATTAGGGAAGGGCTAGAGAAAAGGATAAGGGAGAGGGCACAAAACCAAGGATAATATGAAAGCTAGTTCACTTCTTCCCCTTGGCTGATCTCTTTACTTTCAGCTCTAGGTGGTCCTTTGATCATAGGCTTAATCTTGCTTATTGTAGGACCCTGTATAATCAACAAATTAATTACCTTTGTTTGAGAAAGAGTGAATTAGGTGCAATTAATGGTGTTGAGACAACAATATCAGTCTCTCCATCAAGATGAAGGACTGGATATTGACACCTCCAATGATCAGTTTGAACTACAAGATTCCCCGGTCCCCTAATGCTAATCCCTAGAAATACTGATTAAATTTGTCAATTTCTCCCCCCAGGAGTTACCAGAAAATACATCAGAATTAGAATTGACATCATAGCCACAGGACTAAGCCATGGGCACCCAAGAAATAGCCCCCTGCCCTCGGTTCCATGATGCCCATGTTCAGCAGGAAGCAGCCTAATGAGGACGGCTCCCCCGTTCCCATGATTGGGTCCCTTAAGGCTCTTGAGAAGGGGGGACTGTAGAGACCAGAGTAACTCCATTTTAAGGCAAAAAGCCATCACATGTAAGATGTGATTCCTAGGTGAACTCAATCAGGAATTTGCTCAGTTGACATAAAGGCAAGGCCAGATGGCTGGGAAAGAGAACCATAAAACTTGTAGAGAAGAAGAGACAGGATGTTCTGTATAGATAAGGGGAACACTCCACATTCCTGAGCACACTGACCTCTCCCTGAACTAGCCCACCAGCCCCCTTCCCACCCCAAGATAGTTTTCTTCCTGCTTTCACAAGTGCCCCAGCAACACCCAATAGAAATAAGAGGTAGAGAATAGCACCAATGAAAAACAAAGGATTTCAAGCCCCCCAAACCCTATAAAAGTATGCTTTAGAAAGGGGTCAGGACTCTCAGTACAGAACCACTGCACCAGTGAGGTCCAAGAGTCCAGGATCGAGCTTGCAATAAACTCCTCATGTGATTGCATCGGACTCGACTCCTTGGTGGTCTTTGGAGATATCGCTGTCTGGGGACAGCAGCTTGAGCTTTATTTGGAATTTTTTTGCCTGCTAATGACTTAGAAACTCCCCTTAACCTTTTCTCCAACTTGTTGGGAGTTCATTTGAGAATTCTTGTAGTCAGACCGCTCCTCCTTCCAGAAAATCAGACTAAGGCAACTTGCAACAACAGTTTGTCTTACACTGGGGAAAATAGCAATTAGTAACTTGCATTTGTGTCTTTGCATGCTAACTAGAATATGGAACTATTTTGGTCAGCCTTTCTCTTCCTTCTTGTGTTCACTTAAGAAGTTGGTAAAGGAGCCTTTACTATGTACATTGTGACTGCTAGAAAGATCTATGAGTTTGAAATACTTTGTAAATTTGAAATGGACCTTAAAGGAGTAGCCTTGTCTTGTTGCTAATAAAAGTTGCTGAGTTACAAGTGCAAGGTACCAAGTTTGATCCCCAGTACAAAAAAACAAAAGCAAAAACAAAAACAAAAAAAAACAAAGTTTGCCTAAAAGACTGAATAGACAACAGAAATTTCTCAGAGCTTTCTCTACCCTAGGGCCTAGGGCAGAATCTCTGACTTGGCATCTCTGGAGGTGATCTCTTTTGCAGGAAAAGTGCCCTATTTTCCTCTCTCTTTCAAGGAACTAAAAGCAGTGGTTTAAATTTCTTCATTTGCTAGCAATACTTCTCTAAATGTGATTGTTATAGCTGAACTCTTGTGCTTTGAGAGTACTTACCGGAGTAAGGATATGAATTACCTGAGGAAGATAAGATTGTGTACTGGTAAAGGTTAGATAGTCCAGTCCAGTTTTATTTTCTTGGGCTCTCTCCAGGTGGTACCTATACCCTAGAGAGGAATAAACCTTAGGGGATGCCCTAGGAGGCACAGGAATCAAGCAGAGATTTACAGGATGCCATATTTGTCCTCTTGTTTCGGATTAGGAACTCCATATCTGAACCTTGCACTCCTTTCAAATGTATTAAGGAGCAATTTAGTATTTCCCTACTCCTGTACATGGTGTGCCTACCTCCTAAAGCCAAGTACACAGAGGGAAGTACTATGATGCTATCTCACAATTAGAATATCCTGTAAAAGAGAGAAAGTGGTAAAAAATCATCATATGTTGAGATTTTCTTTACATTAAGTAATTCTTACTTGTGTCCGAGTGTAAATGTAATGAGAGACACCACACCCTTAAGGCATTCTGTACCTCTAAGCCTGAGGCTACTTCTTGCCCTTTAGAACCTGAGGAGAAAGTTTCTAAGACAACTTTAAAGTTTGACGACCAAGTGCTGAGGATGGAGTATCTAGGCCAGCCATAATTAAAACCTCCTGAGGCTATATCCATCCTTAGCTAAGTTGTTCAGGTCCCTCAAAGACAATATCCCTTGAGGCAGGTGTGGTGGCATTTGGAATTTACAAGTTGTTTGCCTGTAACTCAGGTTGATTTATAGATAAATGTCACTAAAGACATGCTTCCCCCAGGTTGCCATATGATCCAAATAATGTTAACTGGTTTTACAAATATAGTACATATTATTGTCTATATATAATAACAAGAATTTTTCATTGGTAAAAAATAATGTGTTAATTGTTATGACCTGGCTTTCAAAGGCCATCTAAAAATTTAAGATAATTAAAGATTCTTGGGCTTAGGAAAACTACTGGAAGGGCTCCCCTTGGTAAGTAAAGGAGCAGCTGCCTGGAAAAAATTTATTCCAGCCTTTGTTCACAAAGGGGACCCCAATAATTTCCAATACATTGCTAAACATATTATTGTGATATGTATACATTGGCTATGGTCAAAATGCTAAGTTTTCTTGGGAAAACAATAAGGTTTTAATTAAAATGCTCTTGGTACAAAACAAAATTAAAGGACAAAGGGTTTCATGTAACTGATACTCAGTTATTTCATGGTGAATATATTCATGTCTTCTGGGTGTACAAGTCTTCTAGGATATTGTTTATGGTAATGGTCTTTTTAACTCAGGTATCTACCTTTCTTGAACTCCAGCTCCTTGTGATAAGAGATACATGTCAAGCAAGCACGAGATAACCAGTCAAATGGTTTTCTTAAAAACTTATATGATGTATGTTATATGTGTCACCATGCTTAGGGATGCTCAATCACCAACCAATCAAAACAGTGTCACACATTAAAATTAGAGGTTAGACATTATGAACTCCTAAGGTACATTTATAGGCCAATATGTATGTTCTCCTTAGATGGCATCCTACTAAGGGATAATAAGAGTTTTTTTTTATGTCATTTAATGTCTTGTGATCAGGTGGTGGTGTTTGAAATGTTACAAAGAAAATGTTATCATGATTGTCATGCTAAAATACTGTGTGGCTCTTCATCTTAAGTTTCTCTATAATATATAACTGTTTTCTGTTAACATTCTGCAGGGATTAAACTACTAGAACAACAATGGTTGATAAGAAATAACAGGTCCCTAACTATGTTTTATGTTTCAAAAGTACTTGATGTTTTAATTATTATAACAGTAAACTCACTGCTTCTACTGCACTACTAATGTCACTGATCTTCTCCTCTGGGTGTTCAACAACTAAAGTTTGGAGACCAAAACTAGAAAAGGAACTAGGCTAAGAGGACTGCCAACATTTTGGCCCTAGGCCCTCGATATCAACAAGAATCCAGGACATGAAGGAACCTTTTCTACAGGATCCTACATCTTTGGTAAGTCACTCAACCTCCTGAGCAGGGAGACTGCTGGGCACCAGAGGACAAATGTACTGTGTGTCAAAGGAGAGTCACCATGAGGGAAAAGTCTCCCATGCTTTCACTGAAACTAACATGGTCAAGCAAGGCTGTGACCCATACTGATGGCTGACACTGATAGAGGAGCTGAGAAGCTCTATGCATGGTTCCAAAATAATGCCTGAAAAGACTTAACTGACCTTGATAGGTAGCAAGAGGTTCATGTTGATTGACACAGGTCTCTCACTTTAACTTGGTCTTAAACGCCCAACAGAAAAGAATAACCAAATGAAGTATTAAATGATGCAATAGTAATAAAGCTAGATATAGAAAGGGGCTCTAGTTACTGACCCCTTCTGGTAGTTTTCAGCTGATCATGGTTATGGATCATTAGAAAAAAACTATGGTAAAATCTATAAGAGCTCAGCTGAAGTTTTCTGTATCTTTGTGAAATTTGTTCTTCAAATTGTCTCTTATCTTACAGCTAAAACTAGAGAGACTTATGACAAAGTATCAAACTTATAGATAACCTCTATCAATGAAAGAATCTAAGACCAGCAGTTTCAATCACTATTTCAATTTCTAAGTGTGACTTTCTCCCCAACCTGCCTTTTCATTCTAGTGTGCTCATACTTAGATTATGCATATTCTAATTTCTTAAAATTTTCATTTATTCTTGGGCCAGGGATTTAGCTCAGTGGTTCTTCTGCCTGCTTCTCAAGTGCAAGGTCCCAAGTTCAATCCCCAGTACAAAAAAAAAAAAAAAAGTTTTGTTTAATCTTGCCTAGAGGCTGCAAACTCCAAGCAGTCATACAAATGGAACCAATGACAAATGTTCCAGACTTCTTTTACTGGGATCCACCAGATCGACCTTGTAAATAGCTCATAACTGTTAAACTATACAATATGACTTCTATGTTGGATTCTGAAGTCCTCCTTATTCTCTTTGTTGGCTATACTCATAGCAATCCTGCTGACCTTATAATTTGGCCCATACCATTCTTAACTGTTTCTTTAGCTTTGTCACCTCCAGCCTTAAAATCTATGCAGCTACCAAGATGACAACACCAGGTACCTACCAAAGGCCTTTAGATCGACCCTCTATAGAGTAACTCTAACTGCTGATCACAACTACAACCTCTTCAGCTGGAAGTAGCTAGAGCTATCTTTGCCCTTTGCCCCCTCACAGCAGTTAGGGGTACTTCTTCAGAGAGAGAAATATTGCAGGTAGTTAAGTTAATTAGATATCTTGTAGGTAGTTATACAGAGCCACACTCAAGTAGCCAGCCCTCAAGGAGCCAACACAGCAAGGAGCCAACATGGAGGACAATAAAGACACATTCACTGTAGCCAGAATTGTAAAAGGAGAAAAACTACTACCTTCTTGCTTCCCCTGGGGATAAATAGCAGTAATTGACATTCTAAGAGGTATCACCTGGGTGGGCAGCCAAGCTATTAAACCTTTCCAGGAAGTATCCCTGACCTCCACCCTTACTGAAAATCCTTATATGCTTTCTATGTGACTTGCTTCCCCATTTAATCAATATTACCTGGGTGACTGTACTTGTAATCTTATTGGTTGGTCGTGGTTTTGTGCCACCTCGTGCCCACCTTGTAATTTTCCATTGGGTCTTGTAGTTTTGTCCCACTTTGTACCCACCTCACTACACTGCCTTGCTGTATAAAACATCTTGGAGAAGTGGGATGAGTGTGCAACCTACTTTCCGGTCCCCCTTCTGTCTCTCTTAGACAGAAGTTTTCTTTCCCTCAATAAATTTTTCCTACTCTTAACTTCCATTGTTCCTAGAATTCATTCTTCAATTTTAGAGAACACAAACTCACGTTTTGGATATCTAGCAGATTTTGGAGTTACATCTCTTCCCCCTATATCACTATGGCCTGTGGTTTGTGAAATGCCCCCCTCCAGAGGCTGCTCTGTCTGTCTATCCTAAGCTCTGGCAACTGTCCAAGCCAGTGCATATCTCTGCTCATGTTGGTGGATGTGGAAAGCTCTGTGCTAGTTGTAGGCAGTGGAGCAGGGGTCCAGGCAGACCAATGGACTTAATGCCAGCACTTTAAGACCCAGGCCCTTCTGAAAGCCAGACATCACCAGCCTGGCTTCTCATCAAAGGGGATGGGACCACCATGTCCTGCCTGGACTGGCCTTAAACATCTCAGGAGGGTCTAGCATGCACCCTGTCTGCTGACTCTCATGGCTGTCGCTACCCAGTCACCACAGCAAAGTGACAGCAGAAACCCTGAAATACAGTTCTGTGGCTCATTCTTACACAATTAATCCTTCCCAAAATGACTACTGATTAAACCCTCTCAGATATGTCAGGTGATGCACTGGGTATTTTTCTTTTAGAAGGAATCACTTTGAGTAAAACTGCATCCTGTTTTTGCAGTTCACAATAGCTGTAGACTTTTCTTGTGGCTAATGCTACTGCTGGCCCACTCCATTGTTTCTCCCTTGAGCTCCCAGCCCTTCTGGGTTTACCTTGTGTTAGTGGGTACAGGTTCCCCTCCCTGAGAGCTGGGTCAGCTTTACAGACTGCTTCATCCTTTTTCTGCATAGTGCTCCATTCTTCCAGCGTCTCTGCAGTTTCTAGTTTTCCTCTTGGCTCCCTCCCAATCCCTGGGGATTTACTTCTTTTTTTCCCCCCTCTTAATCAACTTGTTATTTCTTTGGGTGTCTTAATTTCAAGTCCCTGATAGAGTATATCTTACTGCCAGTCTCTAGTCCACCATCTAAACTAATTTTGATTATAAGAAAATGCCCAGTTTGGCCCAAGAATTTAGCTCAGTGGTGCCGCCACCTGCCTCGCAAGCACAAGGACCCAAGTTCAATACCCAGTACCAAAAAGAAAAAAGAAAAAGAAAATGCCCAGTCTGAAGGCTATATGTATAATTCAACCACTGTGATAGCTTTTTAATGTCAGCAAAGCCCCTCCTTTTATTCTTCACAGCCATCTTCCAAAATAGATCAGAATGGCCTGCTCAACATTGGGCAGACGGAGAAGACACCTGAGGAGGTAAAGTCAAGTTTCTGCAGCTCGAGCATGTTGAAAAGTGACACTACAGAATCTGTCCCTAGGACTCAAGTGAAGGTCTCTGTTCTAATCCGTGAAGTTCCATAATGTAATATTCTTTTCCTGGGAAGGCAGAAGGTGTGATTTAGAAGGAAAAGAGCAGGCTTTGGAGTTGAAGAATGACCGACTACCCAACTACTATGCGACTACTGTCCAAGTGTGGAGTTCTAGCCCCACATTGAAGAGAGTTGATTTGCCGCCTGAGCTGCATTCTCCTTGTATGTAAAATGAAATTCATTTCTCCAACAAATGTCTAACCCGCACCTGCTCAGTAATCTGTCATTCCTGTGGTAGGTGCAACAGGTGAGTTTTATCCATGAAGTGCCCATTGCTAAATTTCTGTACATTTGGGATTTATTTTTTTAAATTTTCTGTTGATTTTTCTAGTAGAAGTAGCCCAATTCAATACAATGGCACATGAAAAATCAGATTTGCAAGTTTTGGAGAAGGTCAAAAGTGAATTATCAGATCATTCATGCATGGATGATGATAAAGCCTTTGATGCTGGCCATGTGAACCAAAGTTCCTGTGATAGTGAAATAGAGCAAGAATCAACTGATACCAACACAGGGAAGACAGATCTTGATTCTGATGACAAAGAAAACAGCAATGTGGGTGTATAGCTGACTAGTTAAAATGTTGCAAAATGGCCAGACAATCAAATGGACAATCCAACATTTGTATTAGGTCCGAAAATATAGTGAGGATCTTGGCAGGGGCAAAACCTATTGGAGAAAATGCCGGCACTGCCATTTAAATTGTAACAGATGAAATGCTACAAGATGTTGTGAAATTCACAAAGGCTCAAATACAACTAAAATGTTCTGTATGCACCAATAGCCATATTCAAAAGAAATATTTATTATGACACCTCACTAGCTGAACTGAAAACATTCATAAGTCTGCTGTATTTAACAGAGATTTCTCATGTAAATTGCAAGAATTTAAAACTTATGGAAAAGTGATGGGTCAAAATATGGCATAAAATTTATGCCTTTGCAGATGTAAAGACTTACTATATTTTTAATTTAGAAATTTATCCTGGGACTTAGCCACCAGGTCCTTATAGTAATAAATCAAATGATGTTTTGAACAGAATTGTTGAACCCATCTCCCAAACTAATCAGAATGTGACACTGAATAACTGGTTTACCAGTTTCCAATCAATGTTATATTCACTAACAGCCCAAACTGACCAGCATAGGAATCATATGCAGGAACAAAGCAGAAATTCCAAATAAAGTGTTGTGATTTCAAAACAGAGAATTGTATAGCACAATGTTTAGATTTCAGAAAGATTTACATTGGCCTCATGTATGGCAAAAAACAAACAAACAAAAAACTGCTACTGCTGATGTCAACATGGCACCATGATCGCCATACTGATAGGGAAACCTTGACAAAATGGAAGCCTGAGATGGAAACTTTCTACAACAAAACCAAATGTGGAGCAAATGTTGTTGATGAGGTATGCAGCAACTATGATGTCACATGGCACAGGGTTCATTATCCTAGACAAAGAAGGAGAAGGTACTTGTAGGGTCAGTAGGAGGCTGAGCCTGCACCATCCTGGGCACCTCGTTGACTTGATCCTTTTTTTCCAGGCCTCTTGAGGACCATGTCATGTTCTGTTTTGTCCCCAAACCTAGATACATCATTGTAGCTCTTGTGAGTGTTCCACTGAAGACTTTTCTCTATGAAACCAAAACACTCTTTGTGTCATCATTGAGAAATGGGCATGTACAAAAGTAATCCTACAGATTATCACAACATTGTAAATCCTGGCATCATGGCCCAAAGATACCTTCAAGTTTTTTTTTGTGAAAAGTCCATTATGCAATACTGTCACCAAAACTGCAATATTGGCTCTCTCAAATTCCCTGTGCAAGTTTTTCTATCTATGGTTTTAACCTTCACAGTAGGAAAACAAAAAGGAAAAAGCAGGAAAGAATTTTCATACATCACCTGGCTTTTGGTATCTCTAAACAAAGACAACTCAATTTTGCTAAATTATCCTATTATTTCTAAATTTCAAGCATATATACATGCAGTTAACTTTCAGATGTCATACATTTCAATACCAATGGCATATATGAAAGTACATATAATTTCAATTCCTAGACAGGCTCCATGGTCAGTACAATTGTCTACCTTGGGGTTGGTTCTCCTACCATCTGCCCGGCCACCCATACCACCTGTCTCTTCACAAAGTTCAATTACTGAGTCCTGCTCATTTAATCTCTGCAGTACTTCTTCCATTCATTTCCACTCTTCTAACTATATATTCAGAACATTATCATTGCTTATCTTAGCTTTTCTAATAGTCACACAATCAAGTCTCCACTTCCCTTAAGTCCATCTACACAAGTGTCATCTTTTTAAACATGACTATTAACTCCTCATCACTGTGAGCAAAACTATGGACACCCGAAGACACCTGCCCCCCTCATCACTCTTTGCATCATGCCATGTCCCCACTGATGGAAAACACTGGCTGTTCCTCATACCTAGCCTGCTCTGTCACATCTCTGTGCCTCTGCTCATTCAGGTTCTTTCTTCTTCCCCAAACCAGCTTCTCTCTTAGTCCTCTGGACAGTGTTTACTCATCCTTTGTACTAGGCTGAGGGACCTTTTCTCTGGAAAGCCAACCCCACAGTGGGGCAGGGACTTCTAGCATGTGTTTCCATACTATTCCCTAAGTGACTTTATCATAATACTTGTGATATCAGATAGAAATTCCTCCTAGGTCTCTTGTCCAAGTATGAAAAGCTGGAATAAATAGAACAAAAATAGCCAACATTCTCCCTTTTATTTTTTTTATTTTTTTTTTGTACAAGGGATCAGAACCTTGGGCTTGCCAGGCAGGCAGAAGAACTGATGAGCTAAATCCCCAGCCCTCCCTTTCAGTTTTTATAGTACTATGAATGAGGTACAAGCCATTTCCCCATGAGAATAGACGAACAAGTGACTTGTTCGAAGCTGCCTTCCTCCTGAGTGGCAGAATCTGATCTGAACCCTAAGCCTGTACTCTTTGCCATGCAGCAGTAACTTTAAGTGAGGCAAACACCTTGTTGTCACCTGCAAAGACTCACATTACTAGAAACCTATCACAAGGCACTGTAACTCTTAGCCATAGCAGTAGCTGCACTCTTTCCATTCAGGGCTACTCCTGTTAGGTCCCCACCATGCTCATGCATTGTCAGCCTATTGCATATCACAGAACCAAACCAAACCAGCAAGCTTCTTACCCCTTCTCCATCTACTGTCCTTTAGCTTGTGTCATTGTGCCCCAACTGCCCAGTTTCTGATCTCCCTCAAAGAAATCCAGTTATTCAGAGAAGCCTACGAGTAAAGAAGCACTCAAATCACCACCACTATATTTTAAAACAAAAAGTCTAAGCCACAAAATATAGGTCTTACCCACTAAATTGATTTTAAAAGCACCTCTTGTTTCTAGAACATAGATCCAATAGTTCTACATCAATCAAGATTTCTTTGTTTGTGCTATACCTCTCTCAGACGAAAGATACCATAAGGGATTTAAGCTTGTGTGTCTGATTTATTTCATGCAACATTATATTTTCCAGGTGTATCCATTTTCCTACAGATATCTCAAATATGTCATTCTTTATAGCTGAGTAGTATTCCATTAGATATGCTATGTACATAAAACAAATAACCCCAGTTAATGTAAACACTATACACCATAACATGAACAAAGGCAAGTAATATTAACAAATATGAAAATTTCCTTCAGCCCAGTGTGCTAGAGGAGACTGGCAGCAGCTCATGACCCTCTGGTAGGCACACCTCTTTGGCCCAGTACACCAGCAGAGCCCAGCCACACAGGCACCAGCACAAGTGTTCGTGCCCCAGAATCCCCACCAAACAAGAAAAAGAGGGCCTCTCTGAGGCTTATGGATGAAAACTGAAGCCCATTGGAAAAGTGAAGAAAATCTGCAATAAAGGCACACCACATCACCTTAGTTGGTAAGTTGGAAGGACAAGCACCTCTCATCAGAACCTGGTCTGACTTCAGGGGAAAGACAGCTGGAACCTGCAGCAGAACCTTGCAGAGTTCAAACCAGCAGGAGGACAAAGATCTCAACTTGGGCCTTGCAGACAGAAATCAGCCTGAACATCAGGGGACAGCTGCTGGCTTGATGAGACTAATTAACTTAGATCTGCACACTCCTGCTCATGCTGTCTATTGTGTCAACAGAGGTATACCCTGGAGGAGGCCCTGTATTTCTATTTGTATTTTTTATTTTCAAAGTAATATTTTTCTCTTATCTTTAATCATTTCAAAAAATTTTACCTTTTTCTTTTCTCAATTTTTTTCTTTTTATCTTCTTTTGCTTATTCTCTCTCTCTCTCTCTCTCTCCCTCCCTCCCTCCCACTTTCACCTTCATTTTTCTCCCTTTTTGTTCCAGCTCCTATCCTAATTTGAATTTTTTTCTTTCTTTTCATTTTCATCTCTTTTTCCTTTTCTCAACTGCCATTAGTTTTAAAAGAAAGTGATTACAGTCTCTAGCCTGTTAGTTTGTTCTGTACTTGTGTATATTTTGGACTTTCTTCTCTTCTTCTCTTTAACAGCTCCTTAGAGTTTCTGTGATATTCCTGTGTCCTCTGACCTCACTTTTAACCTTTCTCTATCCTATCTACCTATCCTTCCTTCTCCAACTCCTTCTTCATCCCCAACCTGAAGGGTAAAGTTGCTATTTGAAGAGTTTATTCACTATAAGCATATTTTGGACTGGTCTTCAATTTTGATTTAATTCACACAGTTAAAGGTGATAGATTAATAACTACAACAAATTGTCATTTTCTAAGCTGTGCTTGATGCTATTGTGTTGCTGATTGTATCACTTGGGCTGAGGTGTTATGATTAATCTAATCAGTTGTCCTCTCTGGTATAATAAAAATAAGATTGCCTTAGAGTCACGAGAGACTCAAAACCTAAAGACCAGCTATAACAGGAAGATTGAAATATTAACCCAGGAATTAAACCAAGGACAGTACCAATGACAAAAACAGAAATGAGAAGACATTTAAACAAGACACAAACACAAGCTTCCACCTCCCCAAAAGTAAACTCTTGGGGAAATGAGGTGGAAAAAAGTCTGACAGTCAACCATCTGGACACCCTGAACTGATAGTACAGGAAGTAAAAAAAAAAAAAAAAAAAAAAAAAAAAAAAAAAAAAAAAAAAAAAAAAAATTCAAAACAGAAATAATTTCCCAGATAACCAAAGAGATGGTGAGTGGAATCAATGACATGATTAGAGACTCTAGAACAGAAACAGATTTAAAAAAAAAATGAGCTCAGGACCACGATGGAAACCATGAATGCTCAACATAGGAAAGAAATGGAAACTTTGAATGCTCAACATAGGAAAGAATTGGAATCCATGAAACATATTCAAACAGATATCCAGGAAATTAAAAACTACAGAAAGCATTCACAGCAGAATGAATGAATGTGAAGATAGAATTTCAGATACAGAAGATGGGACTGTGGTCAGTGAGCTTGAAAAGAGGGATCTCTTAAAAACAATAAAGGAGAATGAGAAATCAATCCAACAACTCTTAGATGATGCAGAGAAGATAAATATAAGACTGATAGGAAGCCATGAACTAGCAGGAGAATATGAAAAAACTGTTCATAGAATTAATGACAGAAAACATAAGTGAGGCATATAGGACTCCAAATAGCCATGATAAAAAAAAAAATCTACACCTAGATGTAATAATCAAGATCCCAGAAAACCAAGCAAAGAACAAAATACTACAAGCAGTTAGAGAAAAGATACAAATCACATGCAAAGGAAAGCTCATCAGAATCATAGCAGACTTTTCAACCCAAACCCTCAAGTCAAGGAGAGCCTGGAGTGAAGTCTTTCAAGTCCTAAAAGAAAACAAACTTCAATCTAGACTGATGTATCCTGCAAAACTATCTTTCAAAATTGATGGGGAAATAAGATACTTCCACAACAAAGAACACCTGGGAATATTTCATGAATACCAAACGGGCACTCCCAACAATATCCTGGAAAAAAAAATGAGGACCACAACTCCATAAGGGCCAACAGAGCAAATATACCAGGCAAGGCAAAAAATTAAAGAGAGAGAGGGAAAAATAAAAAAAGAAAAGAACCAACAACAAGAAAATAACATAACAATGAAAAGTCAATATGTAACAGTTATAACCACCAGTGTTAATGGCCTCAATTCACCAATCAAAAGAAACAGGCTGGCAAAATGCATTAAGAAGCAAAATTCAACAATATCCTGTATACAAGAAACCCACTTAATTCACAAAGAAATTCATAGACTGACAGTAAAAGGATAGAAAACAGGAGCCTGGAAAAAAGTGGGGGTAGCTATCTTATTTGCAGAAAGAATAGACTTTAAACCAAAACTAATTAAGAGAGACAAAGAAGGCCACTACATCCTTGTAAAGGCAACAATAAAAGAGGAAGAAATGACAATCATAAATATATATGCACAGAATACTAATGCCCCAACTATACAAAACAAATATTAATGGATATGAAAAATGAAATTGACACTAATGCAATTGTAGCAGGGGACTTCAATACCCCACTGACACAAATAGACAGATCATCTATACAAAAAATCAACAATGAAATAACAGAACTGCACCGACAGACTTACTAGGTTCTACAGAGTATTCCACCCCACAAAATCAGAATATACATTCTTTTCAGCTGCACATGGGTCATTCTCCAAAGTAAAACCACAGAGTAGCTCTTAGAACATGCTTAAGTAAATGCAAAGCAATTAAAGTTATCCCCTGTATATTATCAGGCCATAGTGCAATTAAACTGGAGATCAATAGCCTAAGAAGCCACAAGAACATCACAAACACATGGAAATTAAATAACATCCTGCTGAACAACCATTGGGTCACAGAGGAAATTAAATAAGAAATTAGACACTTTCTACAATTAAATGACAATGACAATATAACATACATGAATGTAAGGGACAAAATGAAAGCAGTTCAAGAAGGAAATTCATAGCAGTAAATGCCCATACTAGGAAAGTAGACTGAGCTCAAATAAACAACCTAATACTTGACCTTAAGCTTCTGGAAAAACAAGAGCAAAACAAACCAAAAGCTCATAAAAGGGAGGAAATTATAAAGATCAGAGAAGAAATCAATGCAATGTAGACTAAGAGAACTATACAAAAAAAATCAATGAAGAGTTGGCTTTTCGAAATGAAAAAGGAGAAATCCAGAGGATCATCAATACCTACTTCAAAAACCTGTATTCAAATAAAATGTAAAATACAGAAGAAATGGACAGATTTCTAGATACATATGAATTACCAAAGCTGAATGAAGAAGATAAAGAAATTCTAAACACCCCCATTACAATCAGTGAAATTGAAAATGTAATTAAAATACTACAAACAAAGAAGAGCCCAGATACTGATGGCTTCACTGCTGAATTCTACAAGACATTTAGAGAAGAACTATTGCCACTACTCTTTAAACTCTTCAATGAAAGGGAAAGGGAAGCAATACTTCCAAATTCATTCCTAGAAGCAAGTATTACTTTGATTCCAAAACCAAGGAAAGACTCAACCAAAAAAAAACAAAAAAAAAAAAAAAAAGAAAGAAAAAAAGGAATTACGGCAAAAATCCCTAATGAATATAGATGCAAAAATCCTCAATAAGATACTGGCAAACAGAAAACAAATCATCAAGAAGATCATACACCTTGACCAAGTCAGATTTATCCCAGGGATGCAAGGATGGTTCAACATGCATAAATCAAAAAATGTAATACACTATTATTAACAAATTCAAAGACAAAAATCACATGATCATCTCAATAGATGCAAAAACAGCATTTGACAAAATTCAACACCCATTCATGACAAAAACCCTACAGAAAATTGGAATAGATGGTCTTTTTCTCAACCAATAAAGGCTATCTATAAAAAACCAACAGCCAATATCATTTTAAATGGTCAAAAACTGAAAACCTTTACACTAGAATAAGGACCAAAACAAAGATGCCCACTATCACCACTCCTGTTCAATACAGTTCTAGAAACATTAGCCACAGCAATTAGATAAAAAGAAATAAAAGCAATAAAGATAGGAAAGGAAGAAGTTAAACTGTCACTATTTGCTGATGATGTGATATTCTACATAGAAGACCCAAAATACTCCACCAAAAGACTTCTAGACTTAATTGACAGATTCAGCAGAGTAGCTGGATACAAAGTCAACACTCAAAAATCAATAGCCTTCTTGTACACAAATAACAGACTCACTGAGAGAGAAATTAGAGAAACAGTTTCTTTCACAATAACATCCAAAAACATGAAATATCTAGGAATCAATCTAATGAAGGAATCAAAAGACCTCTACACTGAAAATTACAGCACTCTGAAAAAAGAGATCAAAGAGAATATAAGAAAATGGAAAGACATTCCTTGCTCCTGGGTAGGAAGAATCAACATAGTGAAAATGGCCATACTTCCAAAACTTCTTTACAGATTCAATGCAATCCCAATTGAAATCCCAACAGTATATTTCACAGAACTTGAGAAAACAATCCAAAATTTCATTTGGAACCAGAAGAGACCTAGAATAGCAAAAACCATTCTAGGTGACAGAGACATAGCAGAGGGTATCACAATTCCCAACTTGAAACTATACTACAAAGCCATTGTGACAAAAACAGTGGTACTGTCAAAGAAATAGACCCAAAGATCAATGAAATGGATTAGAAGATGCAGAAACAACACCAGACATACTCAGTGACCTCATCTTTGCCAAAACAGCCAACCATCCTCCCTGGAGAAAAGATAGCCCCTTTAATTAAAGGTGTTGGAAAAACTGGGCTTTCAACTTGCCAAAGATTAAAACTATATCCCTGTCTTTCACCATGTACTAAACTAAAACCCAAGTGGATTAAAAAATCTAAATATCAAAACTGAAACACTAAACTTACTGGAAGGTAAATTAGGTAGAACTCTCACAGACATTGGTATAGGAGAAGACTTTATGAACAATTCCTCAGCAGCACAAGAACTTGCACAAAGAAACAACTGGGATCTCATTATATTAAAAAGTTATTGCAGTGCAAGAGAAATGACCAACAGTGCTAAGAGACAACCTACAATGTGGGAAAAAATTTTATCAGCTAACTCCTCATACAAAGGACTACTATCTAGAATATATAAAGAACTCAAAACCATCAGACCCAAATACTCAGACCCAATTCAAAAAATGGGCATCTGAAATGAACAGACATTTCTCAGACAATCAAGTAAAAGCAGCAAATATATGAAAAAATGTTCAACACCAATGGTCATTTGAGAAATGCAGATGAAAACAATACTAAGATTCCCCCTTACTCCAGAAAGAATAGCTGCTATCAAGAAATCAACCAATAACAAATGCTGGCAGGGCTGTGGGGAGAAAGGAACTCTTCTCCATTGTTGGTGGGAGTGCAGACTGGTGCAACCACTATGGAAATCAATATGGAGATACCTCAAAGAACTAGGATTAGAGGTCCTATATGACCCAGCTAACCATCTGCTGGGTATCTTGCCAAAAGAATTAAAAGAATCATACAACAGTAATATATGTGCACCCACGTTTTTAACAGCACACTTTGTAATAGCTAAAACTTGGAAACAACCTAAATGCCCATCAACTGAAGACTGGATAAAGATGACGTGGGTTTTCTATAAAATGGAGTACTACTCAGCCATAAAGAACAAAACTAGAAAAATATATAGCTAAATGGATGCACAATGAGGCCATATTCTTAAGTGAAATAAATAGGACACACTTGAGTAAATACCAAATAGTTTCTCTGGTGTGAAAAATTAAAAGTGTAAATAAGGTTCAAATGGTATAATTGAGAGTGTGAAATAGGAAGAAAATGGCTAAAGGGGAAGTGGGAAGGGGAGGGGAAAGAAAATAAGGGAAAACAAAATATGTGAAAAATGGAAAAAATGGAATCAAAGTCTTTGTAAATAGGGAAGTGTGAAGGGGGTGAAAGGAGGGCAGGGGTATGGGGAAAAAACAAGAACCAAGACATATCATGTAAAGGTTCAAGATCCCAATGATAAATGTAACTGTATGGTTTGCTTTAAATGTACCAATAAACTTAATGGGGGGAAAAACAAATATGAAAAAGGTGATAAGGGAACTGGTGGAGTGGGGGAGGAAGAGGGGAAGGAATTAAAAAAACAAGCTGTAATATGTATATGTGGCCACCCCAAGATGACTGTAAACTGTACTAATAAAAACAGGTATTAATGTACTTATAAACAAACATGTATTAATAAACAGAAGTTTTCAAGATACTGTGTTCAAATATCCTCTAAGGTACTTGCTACGACCTGGTTCCTGGTCATCCTTAGCAGAGAGTTATGCTGACCTTTCTGATATTTCTTAATGACCTTCATCACAGGTGATTTCTTCTGCTGCCTCTTCTGAAGAACCACTGTTTGCACCTGTGGTGTAGACACAAGGAAAGCTATACATATTCCAAGTGTACCCTTTCTGTCAATAATAACAACACTGTATTATGAAATTAACACAAAAACACACTGATTCATATCATTTAACATTTACTTGTCTGCACCAACACTAGGCTAATGGCTCTAAGTACATTCTTAGTTCACAACCATTCAATGAAGTTCACATTCTTATTAACTACTAAAGGAATGTACAGAGAGGTAATGAACTTGCCGCAATATCATGACAAGAAAGTACAGAGCTAAGATTCCCACCCAGGCAATTGGACTTTAAATCTGTATTCTACCCCATCACATAATCCTGCCTAAAAATATACCAAATCATATTTAGGTTTATATTCAATTTTTACATTAATTATGGTTGTACAGATTAATGATCCAAACCACTGTTACTAGGCATATGTACACACACACACACACACACAGAGAGAGAGAGAGAGAGAGAGAGAGAGAGAAGAGAGACAGAGAGAGACAGAGAGAGACAGAGAGAGACAGAGAGAGACAGAGACAGAGAGAGGCTCCATAGAAAATAGTTTTCAGGACAAAAGGAGAAATTTTTCTAAGAATTTCTCAATTTCAACATTACTGACATTTTGGAAAGAGTGATTCTATGTTGGGGGCAAAGCCTGGTTTGCCCATTTTAAGATGTTGAGAAAAATCCCTACCCTTTAATCACAAGATTCTGGTAGCATCCTTCACCTCTAGATAGGACAACTGAAAAATGTCTCCAGATAGTGACAAATGTCCCCAGGAAGGCAAATTGATAATCTCTGACCAAAGTTTTCCTGCAGTGAAAAACCATAAGATAAAAGACCTAAGTGAAATTTTTTTCTTACTTTTTACAAACTAGATTATATAGATTAGTATATGGTAATGATGGATTTTTAAATCAATTGGGTAATGAATGTAAATTCGATAAGTGGCATTGAGAGAATTAACTGGCTATAGAAAAAAGTTAGATGTGTACCTCACTACACAGCGAAAGTAAGCTCTTCATGAAATAAAGCATAAATGATATATTTGGAAACTATGTAGAGTATTTGTGTAAATTTGGGGTATATTTTGTTCCTAAGAAGGACCACAAACACAGCCTTACAGAGAAAATCTGAATGATTTGACAACCAAAAAATATAAAAACTTTTGGGGGCAAATTAATGAACTGAGAGAAAATATTTGCAACATGTACAGGATACAAAGGAGAGAATACACATATTCAATGTAAACACATACACAATATCAAGAGAAACTCTGAAACAAAAAATTTTTGTTATTTTCAAAATATATACACAATATATAGAATATAAAAACTACATATTCTGAAAATATGCATAAAATTTTCACTAGAAAAACTAATAAAATGGGACAGTGATAAAACTGAAAACACATACAATATAAGAATGAATATAGTCAATAAACAATTGAAAAGATGGCCATCTCATTAATGATCAATGAAATTCAAAATAAATAAGATGTTAATTCACCCATTAAACTGGCCAAAAATGAAAGAGTGATTATTCTTCAAATTTGGCAGTGATGTAAGGAAATGAATATTTTCATAATTATTTTTAAATATATGAACTTTTAAAATTGTACTTTCTTATTTTAAACATATTTTTCTTTATCAAATCTAACATTAGGAGAAAAAGGATAACGAAGGGGGCCTGATGGTCACTGATCATAAAAGCATTTCATGCTATAATCCTAAAATTCTCATCACTTCTAAGGAGTTCCCCAAGCCTTGGCCTCATCCTAATATGGGCTACCAAGATTAGGTTATAAGTCAGAGGTAGGCTTTTCATCATTTATGTTCTTTTATTTATTTATTTTTGGTGGTGGTGGTTTTTTTGGTACCAGGGATTGAACTCAGGTCCTTGAGCTTGCAAGGCAGTCCACCGAACCGCTGAGCTAAATCCCCGGCCTTATGTTCTTTTACACAAAATACTTTAAATAGAATACTGCTCTTTTGAAAGAATTTAGTAAAATTAAAGATAACTTTGACCTAATATGAACAGTACATAATTTATATATTTTGTATTATATAGTTTTGTGACATCACTATGTCCTTCTACCTTAGGAAAAAGAAACAGAAAAAAATTACATTTTGATGTGTTCATATGAATGCAATGTTAAAGTATAGAGGTCTTTTAATATTTTAATTTTACTTTTTAAATTGTTTTGTTTTGTTTTGTTTTTTTGGTACCAAGGATCAAACTTGGGGTCTTGCACTTGTGAGGCAGGAAGCGGCAGCACTGAGCTAAATCCCCGGCCCTCAAGTATAGTTTGAAAAGTTGAGAAGCAGACTTAACTTCTGATGTTGGAGTTAGCATTGAGAAACAATCAAATCTAAATTTTGCTTATCTGTAGTGTTTGAATGTTAGAATATATTGATGTTCACTTGTGTACTTAGAGAAAAAAAGCTATTACAAACAAGGGCAGTATAAATTTCAGGATTTTCTATAACATGGACAGGATATGACTGCTCCTTCAGTTTAATAACTAGCAAAGACAGAGACAGGGATCTAGCTCAGTGGTTCCACTGCCTGCCGTGCAAGTGCAAGGATCCAAGTTCAATCCCTGGTACCAAAAAATAAAAATAAAGAAAACAGACAATCTTTCAGGACCATAATACTCTGATCTCTGTGACAGACTTGCATATCAAGAACACCTCAAGGTGGAGAAAAACTTCTCAGGCAGCAGCATGTGCCACCCACACTTAGGGACCTGCATTACAATCATGTGTGTGGCTTCACAAAACCCAAGAATTGAGCTGCTGAGAATCTCCCACAAGCTCTGTGTGAGGCTGACACTTCCCCGGAGAATAGACGAGCTGCCATTACACAGACAGCTGCACTCTTAGAATCCCAATTAAGATACAGGTAATGTCTTTGGGCTCCACTCCTCCTTTTCCCCTCCTGCTATGAGTCTCCTATTTTATTCCCAAGTCGGGGGGTGGCAATCTGGGGTTCCTCTGCCCCTGGAGCCCAGTGGCCCAGGGAAGCTACAGTTAAGTCACTCTGAAGTGAGAATTCCTGAGGCTTGTTAAGTTCCATGATAAGAAAATGGAAGGATCATCACTAGGAACTTCAGCTGATTAGGCGGCTGGGACCAACACCAGCAGCTAAGCAGGTTAAGCAGAAATGACTGTCTTTAAGAGGTACCCGAAGAAACTTGTAACTTTTCCCTAATATCGACTTAAGTGTGTGTCACCCGATACTACACACAGACCCAAGGTACCGTTCCTTTCACCGCCATCACCACTCCCCATCAGTATTCTCATCACCACTCTCACCCAACCCATCATCGCCCCCAAATATTCATCCATTTCCTACTATGTGTTACCACTCCAATATTATCACCTGATTCATCACCCAGCCATCATCATCATCAGTATCATCATCATCTTTGCCATCCCATCATTCCCATGACCACCATGTGATGCGCATCTGCACCCTGAGAAGAGAGCAATGTCCTGAAGACCTAAGAAAAAGCCTTCATCTGAAAAACAAACATGAAGAACATATTTAAATAGCAATTCTATAATTTTAGTCGGGTGTAAGAGGGCAAACCATTCTATGATAAAATGTAATAGACTGAGATAGAGTGCATTAAGTTAAATTTTAAAGTTGAACATTGGAAAAAGTGACTTTTTCTGAAAATTGAAATAGTCCCCCAATACAGGAGAAAAGAAATAAAATTATGATAACTATGGGGTGAGTAGCACTGATCCATCTTACAAGTATTGAAGAATTTCTAAAGAACAGGCTGGGTGTAGTGGTACAAACCACTAATCCCAGCAGTCTAGGAGAATGAGGCAGGATGATTGCAGGTTGGAGCACAGCCTGAGTACATCAGAGCTTAGAGAGACCCTGCTTCACGTAAATAAAGATTATAAAAGGGCTGGGGATGCAGCTCAGTGCATTCTCAAAAAAAAAAAAAAATCTTTAAAAAAATGGTAAAGGGATCAGGAGCAATATCCAAAGGTATGGCATAGGAAAATTTTCTGAATTTCAAAAGTAATACTGAAGTAAAAATATCTCACTATATTCCAGGGAAAGTTGATGAAAGAGATCAGTATATACATACATAGATTCATCTACTAATCTATACCATACACTGCAGGTAAAATGATCCAAAATCTGAAAACATCATCCCCAGGTTTGAAAAGTTTAATAACTTAAGAGCACCTAACATAAAAAGCAAAAATCCCAGTGTAGGCCACGGTTTGACCCTGCCCATCTCCTCCTTTGCTTCCGCCTAATTGACCTTTGTTCTGTTCCTTACAGACATCATATTCTTTCTGGCATTAGGAACTTGGTAGATCTTCCCTCCCCCTGCATGCTCTCAACTCTCCACTCTTTATTTCCTCTAGTTAACTCCTACTTTAGGATCCCAAACATTTAGGAATACACTCAGACATCCTCATACCCCCACAAGGAAACCTTCTGAAACCTCCAGCTTGGCTAAATGAGTGCACTATAAGCTCTTGTAGCACCATTCTGTTTTCTACTTTTATACCCTAACATTTAGATATATATGGTTCTTTGGTTACTATGTGCTAACAGATTATGATCTCCAAGAAGGGAGGGATGACAGAGCCAAGTATCAAATCATTTTGCCAACAGACTGATGTGCACTACAGCATTTCACAGTAAACAAGTCTCACAGCAGAAACCCTGAATAGATAAAGTACACTAACAACAAAATGAATGAGTTTTGTCTTTGTTAAAATCAATTTAATAAAGTCTGATGGAGGACAGAAGAGCCTCTGTGGAAAGGAAGGTCTAATTGAAGCCCAAGAAGTACCTTTACATGGCTTGGTCACAACAGTGGCCCTATAGTTTAGATTAGAAATGTTCTTAAATGGCTCATGTGTTAAAAGCATGGTATTATTGGGAAGTGATGGGACTTTAAGAAGCAAGGCCTAATGGGAGTGTTTCCAGATATTGGTGATATGCACTTTAAGAGGATAGTGGGACCCTAGCCACTTTCTTTTCTCTTTCTCTGACTAACCATGAGGTAAGAAATTTGTTTTGCCACGTGCAGCCATCAGGACCTGCTGGCAAGCCACAGGCCAAAAAAGAATGGGATCAATTTACCATTGACTGTACCATCCAAAACCATGAGCCGAATAAATTCTTTCTGTTTATAAGTTAGTTATCTAAGTACTTGTGATACTGCTGAAACACTAAGACAAACAGAAATACCTTATAACTTATCCTGGTGAATTTGAGAATCAGCTCAAAGGCTAATATGGCCCTGTCACAGCCTTGCCTCTCAGTCTTTGGGGAAGTGGCAACAGTGGATAATCCTGCCATGGCTGGAGCTCCTAAATTTATAAGTATTGTGGCCTCCAATATTTGAGAGGAATAACTCATATATGGGGTTCAATAAGGTGTGATATGATATTTTCAAGGAGATAAGGAGTATATGCCATGGTCTATTTGGTATTTGTTTTTTTTTTTTTTTTTTTTTTTTTTTTTAGTTTTTTGTGATAGAATAACAGAAAGGTCTTGTGGTTTGGGGCCTATTGTGGCTTGCATCTCAAGGTCTCCCCAAATCCTAATGCACTTATAGGTGGGAGTTTTCAAACTGGCTTGATCTAGATGTGATGTTGGGATTAGGGATGGGATGCCAGGATTAAAGATGCCCCACTAGGGGTATGAGTGGCACCATCCAGAGTGCAGGTAGCCTGGGTGAAATGTAAAGGCAGATTTGCTTGCTGGCTGCTTCTGCTGTTTCTGCTGCTGCTGCTGCTGTTTATGCTTCCTGCCTGCTCTGCCATGAACTGTTTCTCTTCTACAATGCACCTCTGCCATGCCATCCTGCCTTGGTGCCAGCTGACCATGGACTGAAACCTCTACAAACTGAGAGGCAAATAAACCTTTCCTCCTTTAACTTTAGGTGCCTTCAGGTGCCTTTAGGTTGTCTCCCCAACAACAACCAAAAAAAAGGTAACTATGACAGGGCCTAAATGAAGTAGAAGCAATTACTGTTAAGTAATAAAGATAGTGCTTAAGAAATAGTATATCTGGATAAAGGATATCAAAACTAAGATAATTTCTAGGTAATGAAAAGCATCAGTTATGGCCATGGGTGGTTAATATGTAATACAAGTAGTGGGCTCAACAAATTAAAAAATAAAGGAAAGTGAGGACAGAGTCTCCAATCAGACCATGGCCATCACATCACAGTGACTCAAGACAATGACCTCAAGTGTGAAATTTTGATACAAATGTTACACTTTTTGTAGAAAAAGAGGTTGTCCAAGTTACATAAGGTGGCAGGACCGGGAAATGGTGGTAGTTAGCACACTTTTCTAAGCAGCAAGACATTTTCCAATGGAAGAGTGGACTCATGGTTTCAAAGGAATTAGAGGAGGGAGAATCTGTACACTACATACCCATTCTGAAGTAATTTAGATTTTCAGAAAATCAACACTCTCAAAAGTCAGGTGTGGTGACACATGCCTATAATAGCAGCACTTGGGAGGCTGAGGCAGGAGGACTGCAGTGAGTTTGAGGCCAGTCTGGGTTGCATAGTCCTTACTGAGTTCTTATTTCAAACCCAGCTTGAACTACATTAGCAACCCTCTGTCTCAAAAAATCAGGGGAGCAGGGAGGAAGGAAGGAAGGAAGGGGGAAAATAAATCAGTACTCACTACTTCAGATATATAGGAAATAGTTTCCTTCTCAAGGGAAACCAGATTACAATTAAAGTCAGAGCATGCAAGGAACAGTTGATGAAGAAACAAAGAAAATAGGAACATGTGATAGTGATAGACAGACTGAGAATATAACTGAAAGTTTGAGAAAGGTGAGAGGAAATGCTCCATGGTTATTTGTGAAAAAGCAGAATGTTACAGTGATCAGAGTTCAAGAGAGAAAGGAGCAAAGAACTTATGATATGGATGGTGATAGAGAATCCAGGAATGTTAAAGAGAGAGGGATGCTGTAGCAGACAAAAAAGGTGCGTTTGTTAGTAGCCTCCTGAGTCATCTGCCTGGACTGAGGCATCTCAGGTCTTGAAGCAGAACACCCAGTGCACTCACTGAGGACCAGAAGTGGGCAGCCACCCTAGCAGCTTTGACCTAGGGTTCTGGTTCTGCTCAACAGACAGGCAACACACCAAGGGACCAAAGGGACCAAGACAAACCGGCAAAGGTAAAGCTCTGCTCCAAGCACCCGCTACAGCCCTGTCTGTATTTGCAGCCCGCACGCATCACAATGGGCATTCAGACATGGGATGATGCAAGGGCTGATGCGTGAGATGGATGCTGGAACAGTTCCAGCATAAGCCCATCACTCATTTTACTCTTGCGGTAACCTGAGTAAGCAGAAGAGCCTCCTGAGAAAATGAAAAAACTACCTCGAATCCCTACAGCTCGACCCAAGCCTCCTCCTCCTTCTATTCCTCCACCCTCTCAACCTCCAACCCGTTTTCCTCCCGTCTTCTCAGACTTTCAATCCTCATCCTACTCTCCACCGTAACCCACCTCTTTCTGTTTTCTGCCCCCTAGTTTCCCTCCC